GGAAACGCAGAAGTCCTGCCCTGACTTCTGTTTGTACTAGTTGGGTAAATGCATGCCTGGATACAATACAGCGTAATGTTGGGTCAAATTGCTGGCTGTAGTCTGCTCTGGTTTCTGCCCAAAGCCACCTCAGCTGAGGAGGTGAGAGGTACCTGGGTACCAAAGGGGCCCTTTACAAGGGAGATAGTTTACCCAGCAGGAAGACTGGCTAACTTGCTGTTGAGAAATCAGGGAGTCGTGCACTGGAACTAATCCTAGTGATTTCATTGGACCCTTTGTTTCTCTTCTTCTGGTTACATTAGCAACGTAATTATTATTTCAAGTTTAGAATTTAACTTGCGAAATCTTGGGAGAAAGGAAAGGATGTATATTTTGCTAAGTCAGAAGCTAAAGTATTTGTATTTCTATTAAAATTATTCTTAATATGCAGCGCCTATCTCAACACTTCTATATCACAGGGGATAAACAACTGCAAAAATATACAGCATCCTATTTATTTACAATATATATATGTACATAAAAATGAAATTTCCTACAATACAACACAACTGCATAGATTTGTCTTCAGAAACATAGGCATGTGTACAATTTGTGAACTCCAGACCTTTCCAGTCCTGTACTTTTTATTAATTCATTATCTTTTTTTTTCACAGTTTGTTACAGAAATCCTTACATTAGATACAAATAAAACATTCTTTGTGTAAATTATAGGAAATAAGGATTTTCCTGGTGCCAAGGGCTCTGGGGAATTGTTTAAGAAAGCACCCTGGCACCAGACGATAAAGCCATCTCGTGGAGCTGCTGATGGAGCTGAATACATTCTGCTGTGCCTTTCTCCTACAGGCACCGGGGCGGGACGGTAGGACTGGAGGTGGGACACCACCACAAGGAAAGAGTTTTGTTTTGACCAAGATGCTCTTTAGCCTTAATGTAAGGTTCAGGCAAAGAAACGTATTCATTTAAAGATAAACTAGAGATACCATTTCTTGTTAATATCAGAGAGCGCTGTGGTGCTTATGCATTGTAAGGCAGATGTACAGACACAACCCATACATCATCCAACCTGCATTTGCGCGTGTGACCTACTGCAAGTGGAGCGCAAGCTATGGGTCAGTCTGTGGCTCAGGAAAGCAGCCCTCGGGAGCGGATGGGGAGCCCCAGCCCTGACCTCACAGGACGAGACCATCTCTTCTGCCCTGGGCCTGCACGCCGGCCGGGCACCGCTCGGTCCCTGCCGACCCTACACAAGGTCTGTGCCGGTGCACGGATTTGGCACTGGCCCTCTGACCAGGAGCTAGCATCACCCAGAGAGGTCACTCCTCCCGAGATGCTGCCCCCAAATAACAATTTACTGTGTTTTACCTACTGGGGGTGTCTGCCATCGGACAGAGAAGGGCAGGTGTATTCTGCGACTGTAAGGGTGCTTTAAGCTCACAACTATTTTCTTTGCAATGTGCTGCGGACTAGGAGAGGCAACAAGGCTGTCTCTTAAGTGTAGGATTAACTCCTACAATCTTATTAGGAGCCTTTGCTTCTAATTAGTCCTTCCTTGTCCCTCACCGCTCAATTGTCGCTATTACGCAAAAAAGAATTATAAAGTATTTTGTTGTAATTATTAAGGAGCAATTTTGCGTCGAGTCTATGACATTTGCAGTGCTCACAACAGTGATAAACTCTCTATGAAAAGAAAGCATGCTACCACCTAAGCAGATACGGTACTCTGGATCCTATTAATTTAACAACAGAGAAACTCCTACAGCATTTCACTGTGCTCTTAAAATCCTAGCTAAAATGTGGGACTCGTACATCGTTGGCTACAAGTTCACTATTTCAAATGAACTGAATAACAGCAGTACATTTTACAGATAACCTCATACAAATATTGTCATCCATCACTGATGTTGACAGTTACAGCAGGGTCTATTGCATTCTGTTAAGAATGTATAAACCTGATGAGAAAACAAAAAGCACGTTATTTCACGTTCATTACCACAGACATCAATAAACACATGATTCCTTTCCATAAATATCTATAAATATGATGCCAGTAAATCAGTCTAAGCAAAATTCCCTCGTTACTTTCAGAAACCCAGAAACAAAGTCTGTCTAAAGACTCAATATTTTGGGTATCTATTGTTCAGTATCTAAGATATGCTTTGATGGTCCAGTACCTCGAGTAATTTCACTCTGCGCACACACCCAGCTCATTCTTCTCCCTATTTATCCAGTAAAACTCCGGTATACCAATAAACTGGGAAACAGAAGAAGGCAGAATAGGAAAGAGGAGAGAGAGTGATAGTGATGGAGGAGTTTTAGGAAAATGCAAGGAGCGATCAGTCACCCAACAGCCCTTCAAGCCGAAGGAAGCTGGCTGCCAAAACTCAGTGGCTGTTATTTTAAACACGAGACTACAGACTTTTTGGGGGGTGGAGTGGAATGGAGATGTCGCCGTTGTGACCTTGCTGGGACCCTGTGCAGCAGATCAGACCTCTAGCTCCTACTTGGGTATTTGAAAATCTCTCCAAGGATCTCCTCTCTCACAACCCTCCAATGCACAGAGCTGCACTGCTTGTAAATCAGTAGTAGAAGAAGGATAAAGGGGAGAGGAAAGCAGGAGAGCCCTGGAGCATTTTGAGGAGAACACTGTGCGGTACTCAGGTCTGAGCTGGGTTTTTTGGGATGAGATCCAGAGAAGTTACAAGGCACCTTGAAACCTAAAATGTGACCCCAGCAAGCTGAGTCAGAGAATGGAGTGAGATGCTGGGCTCCCGCTGCAGTTACCAGGGAGAGTTGGGAGCCTGTGAAAGGGGAGCCACAAACTCACACACCAAGCTGGGAAGATGGCTGCAATGAGCTTTGAGGAGATAGGAACCAAGCATGGGTTCTCCTCTCCAGAGCTTGAATAACACCTGGGCTCGCAGGCTACGGTGTGGACTTCTTTGTGAATCATGTCAGGGATCAGTCCCATAAAGAGATGGTGTGGAGAGAACTGGTGACCTGCACCGTCACAGGAATGGGTTTGAGACCAGCTGCCAAGAAGCATGAGCTGTCTCAGCCCAGGGCTCCCGGGCAGCTCAGCGGTTCATGTGCTAAATGTGGGGCCGGGGGGTGCTTGGGAGGAAGGACACAGCACTGGAAACCTCGCGGGGACCCTGCGAGTGAAGGCCTGAGGGGCCAGGAGGAGGACAGACTCAGGGAAGCCTGCTCTGCTGTCTAGCAGGTCACTTTGCCCGGAGGCAGGAAGCTTCCAGTTTTGTTCTTGCTGCTGGGCTACTCCGGGGACTTGGGCAGCCTGCAGAGTCCGCTCTGCCTTATTTCTGGATCACAGTGGAGTATCAGCAGAGCTGGGTACCTCACTGCCTAGGCTGAGGTACAGATCTAGAGGTCTAGGTTTCACGGGTTTAGTTTCTGCAGCATGAACGCTGCATCTCGATGCCCAGATTCCAAGGAAGGCCGCAAACTAACCTCTCTGGAAGTCACCCTCAGAAACCAACTTTCGAGGTCCTGAGAGGTGCTTATGGTCTCAGCTACCAGTGACTTCCAGCCATGTAAGAGAAGGCAATGGCAACTGAGGCAACTCAATAGCTCACAGAAATTGCAAGATCCCAAATTCACCACTTCTAGCCTTAAAAAGAACAAGCTGCAATGACAGGTTCCTCACACCTGATGAGAGCCTCCTTCCACAGTTACAATGGGAGTTGGCAATGAACCAGCTACTGGGAACAGGAGGGTCACGGCACACTGACCAGTACAGCCCGAGCACGCCAAGGGCATCGCCCAGCCCTCGGGCGTGAGGCGGGGTGCCCTTCAGCCATCGGTTCTTTCAGTGGGAGCTGGGTTCGTATCTTGAGACGCTTTTTTGCTCACATGGTGAATAACACAAGGTGAACACGTTTATGCTGCTGGCAGTGCACTAATAGAAGATGGCTGCTCAGGACGGTTAACAATCACCTGCTTAGCGTGTGAGTCTCTACAGGTAGTTCTCTACACCGGCTATAAGGCATTAGGCAAATGCTTATGTTGTGGACAACAGTGGTTTTGCTAGTAGTAATTGAATGTCTTTTCTTTAATTGTTACGGAGAATTGATGAGAAATGTAAATGAAACATCTTAAATATAAGAAGCGTTTCTGGTTTTTTAAAGAAATGCTACAGATTTTAATTTCCATTAGAAATCCAGTAGTTTGGCAGGCTTGGTCAAATCCTGCTCCCGCTGCTGTCAAAAATCCGTCTGACTTCAGTGGGGGGAGGATAAGACACAAGAGAGGAGCCAGTCTCTACAAGGCATGTACAAATGAATCCCAGAATGGAAAAGGCATGAGGTATGGTTAAATGCGTAGGTTTTGCTAAAAGTGGAGCTTTTTTGAAGTAGGGCATTAGTAAACGGTTTAATACTGAAGGAAATGCAGAGTTCCTATGGAAATCTCCCAAGCATCTGCTTCTCTTCAGGCTCAAGTACTCATGGCTTGGGGTCAAGTCTAGTTCTGGTCAGGCTTCAACTGAAGTGTGCCAGAGGATTGGTGGCTGGTGGTGGTGGCTCTCCTTCTCCTGCTCCCTGCCCCCCGTCACAAAGACACACACACAGGTCTGTTCCCCAAAGCCACAAAAGGGCCAAGCCCTGGGGCTGGCTCCCCCACCAGAACAGCAGAGAGGAGCACCAGATTTAGGACCTAGGCTTATACAACGCTTATTTACGCACTCGTGGTGCCTTTTGTGCCTGTATCCAGGACGCTGCGTTTAACCCAGTGAGGCAAATGGTACATGGAACAGCAACAAAACAAACAAACAAGCCAACAAACCGGATGCGTACGATCGGAGAGCAGAGTTTTGGCTAAAAGACGGGGGGAAGGGCGTGAACTGACATCACTCCAGTTGGGGTTGATAACAACAGGCGCTGCTGCCCGAAAGGAGCAGAGCTTATGGTTGAAGGGCTAAGGGTAATAACAGAACAATGCAATTCATGAGTGGAAGAGGGGAAACAAATTAATTGTGATGAATTCCTATGAGCAATGCTCTATATAGTCTCATGGACAATTAACGCAGACTTTCAGCTGATCTGATAGCTCGGTATCGGGGGACAGAGTGATACGCGTGTTGGAAAAATGGGTCTGTTTTCTGCAAGAAAGTATACCCAAAACAGTATTTTCAGTACTGGATAATCATTATTTGGATTTGATTTGAGTAAACTCACAAAAGATGGAACAGATAACAGAACGGATGGTTGCGATTTTGGTGTGTAGCAAACGGGGGTGTCTTCTTTCCAGAAGGAGGTGAACTTCAGTGGCCTTCGGCACTGCCTCCTGACTGTACCCAGTCATAGATGACCAAGGGAATGCTCACTAGGGAAAACATTATCCCCAATGCCAAGAAAAGGGATGCCTGGAACAAAAAGCAGAGAAAATTAATGAATGAAAGGGAAAGACAATTAAGTCAAGCATGTTAACTTCTCCTCTTAAAGAGATTTACAAGGTGATGTATCAGAGTTATCAGCTAAAATGGGATAGCACTTCTGGTAAAGACAAGACCCATAGATAATTAAACAGATTAGTGTCATTAATAATTACTTGCTGAACACCAAACTCTATTTTTTTCTCCTTTCAATTCACTTCTTAAACACCGATCATCCCTAAAGAGGATTAAGCAAGTCTGTTTTTAGGACCAATCGACTCTGCTCTTTTCAAAGCCTCACGGAGGTAGGTATACTCTTCCCATCGGATATGTGTCCATCTAAGTTCAGCCCCTTCGTCCTGGGGTCTGTGGATGGAGCCACAAGTGAAACACAGTTTTCCTGCGTGTCTGCTCAGAGCAGGAAGGTCTGACCTTATGATGCTTCCAGGGCACGCCCCGTTAGACTGGGAATACACAAGAGCGTTCCATCTTTTCAGCTGCAGCTCTTTCTGGGGCTCATAGGAAATCTTTCCAAGGCCCATTCCCATTTGCTCATGCATGCCAAAGGGCTAACATTTCGACTGGCTGCTTCTGGTGGAAGCACCCTAAGTCTGAATCGGGTCAATTAAATCCACGAGGAATACCCAAACGGAACGCATCGCACGCTTTCTGAATCAACGCGGTGAAATGTAGAAGCCTTGCTGGGCTGAAGGGGCTGCTGGCGGGGGCCGGGGGGTGTGTGGGTACCCACACCCTGCTGACAGCTCCGGCCGTGGGAGGAGCTCCC